ATCGGCATTGTGAACGTCCCTTAAAGCCAAAGCGCTGCACGGTTTGTTTGCGTCCGGAAAGCAGTGGCGTGATGCATGACAGTGTTCGACTACTTCCCCCATACAAGACGCCCCCGCCCCGAGCATCATCATCAGATCGGCTCGATCGCGAACGTTTTTCGTTCGACCACATTGTTTTGATGCTTAATGCGGTAATTTAACATCAGAACATCGGACTTAGAGGTAGTTAATGAGAGGAACAAGTACCAATCTACGAGGCTGCTTGACTAAGGGCCGGTTCATGCCGTTCATTTTGTGGTAGAGCCCACAGGCGTTGCACAGGTAGTGGCCGGTACCGTCGCGACGCCACAAAGGGGTGTCGATGGCGCCGCAATTCACACACTCCCTACCCTCAGTGAAGTACTCGGCTGCGGTACCTGGAGCAACTAATAACATAGCTAATTATCCATTAAGTGTCTACATCCACAGGGGGCAACTCTGGCCTGCTTGCTGGCCAAAACAGGGGTTTATTCATTTACACTGTAATGCTGCTGCTGCAATGAAAGAATCTTCTATTTGGCGTTATTGATTTGCCACCTCTTTGGGTCAGAGACCAACTTTTAAAACCCCAAAATCAGAAGCACMAATATAAAAAAACATAACCCCACAGAGGAAATTTTCCTCAGCCAAAACGCAAAGAGACCATGCTTTTGTCACCATTTAATACCCAATCAATCAAAACACTTCCGGTCTTGTGCTCTGCTTGTTTTGGCTACAAACCCGTTCACACGTGCGGGATTTTCATTCATTTRATGTCAGCAAAACCGACAATGATTCATGAATATACAGAACGGCCCAKAAAAYATGTTTGTGTCCTCCCTTGGCCATTAGCATGTCGGCAATTAAGGCCAAGCGTAAATTGAGACGCGCACGCTTAAAGGTTGTTAAATTTCCGATCATTTCCCACATAAAACTTAAAAAATCAACGAGGTTTGAGCTGTAGAAGAGGCGCAGTTTTTTGCAATCGATCTTCTAAAAGCCCATTTCCCCMAACATTTCAAAAATTCCTTTGAACTCCAGAAAATTTTGAAAATTCCAAAAAAGGTGAAAAGATTGGGAAAAAATCAAAATTTTAAACTCTTTAAAGGTTGTTAAATTTTCGACCGTCTCCCACTTCAATTTTCAAGGAAACTTTCAAAATCAACGAGTTTTGAGCTCTAGCAGAAGCGAAATTTTCACTACAGATCTTCTAAAAGTCGAATTGGATCTTTGAAAAACACCAAAGTGAAGGAAAATGTGTTATTTYTACAAATGTTTYAAAAAAYCATTGCAATTTCCGAAAAGTTTGAAAATTTCTAAAAATTTTTAAAACTTAAAAATTGCAAAAAAGTTTTAAAAATTTCGGAAAAAAATTTAAATTTCAGAAACTCTTTAAAGGTTAAAATTTCGAAAAATATTGAAAATTGCAATAAATTTTGAAAATATCAGAAAAGTAAAACTTAAGAAAAATTTAATTTAAAAAACTCTAATTGGTTGTTAAGTTTTCGATCGGTTCCCCCTTGAATTTTTACGAAAACTTAAAAAATCAACGAACTTTGAGCTGCAGAAAAAGACATTTTCGCAATCAATCTTCTTAAAGCTCAACTGGATCCTTGAAAAACACCAACGTGAAGTAAAACCTGTTATTTCTACAAACATTTCAAAAATTCGTTTGAATTGCAGAAAATTTTGAAAATTTCATAAAAGCTGAAAATTTTGCAAAAAAAAACAATGTAAACTCTTTAAAGGTTGTTAAATTTTCGATCGTCTCCCACTTCAATTCTTAAGGAAACTTCAAAAATCAACGAGTTTTGTGCTCTAGAAGAAGCGAAATTTTCGCAATCAATCTCCTAAAAAAAAGCCCAATTGGATCTTTGAAAAACACCAAAGCGAAGCAAAATGTTTTATTTTTACAAATGTTTTAAAAAATCATTGCAAATTTCCGAAGTTTGAAAATTTCTAAAAAATTTTAAAACTTAAAAATTGCAAAAAAGGTTTAAAAATTTTTTAAAATTAAAATTTCAGAAACACTTTAAAGGTTATTAATTTTTCGATCGTTTCCCACTTCAACTTTTAAGAAAACTTCAAAATTCAACGAGTTTCAAGCTCTAGACGAGGCGAAATTTCCGCATTCGATCTTCTAAAAGGCCAGTTGGATCTTTGAAAAACACCGAAGTTAAGTAAAATGTGTTATTTCTACAACTGTTTCAAAAAATCTTTAGAATTACGGAAAATTTTAAATAGTGCCTACTTCAAAAAAATTTGAAAATTTAGTGAACCTTTAGAAAAAATAAAAATTTCGTAAACTTTTTAAAGGTTAAATTTTCGATGGTTTTCCACTTCAATTTTTAGGAAATCTTCAAAAATCAACCAGTTACGAGCTCGAGAGGAAACGAAATTTTCGCATTCAATCCTCTAAAAACCCAGTTTTTTATAAAAAAAAATTACATTCTACAAAATTTTGAAAATATCAAAAACGGTTGAAAATTTAAAGAAAGTTCCGAAACTCTTTAAAAGCCGTTAAATTTTCCAGCTTTTTCTCTTTCAATTTTTACGGAAACTGTCTTGGAACTTTGTAAAACTCAGCAGTGGAGCAAAATGGATTACTTATTCAGGAAATAAAAAAAAGTAAAAATTTTACTCAAAAAAGTAACTTTTTGACAATTTTTTTGTAACGTTGAAACTTTTCGAAATCTCGAATTTTCTAGCGATAACATTTTGATCATCAGAGCGATGATTCGTTGGTTTGTGGGGAAAAGAGCGTTAAGGCGAGTATACACATGCATGGCTTTAGCGGTTTTAGTGTTTTTTGGCTTACTGAATGGACCCATCCGGGGATTTTTTCGCTGAAAGTCATTAATTTGAAGTGTTCTTTAAGGTAAAAAAAGACGAAACTAACTCAAGCGACACCATCACCTTATCATTGAACCTTTTAATGAGCTCCAAACTTTTGAGGGTTCCTTAAGCCCTTTTAAGTTTTGGAAGTGTATTTCGTATCAAAACTTGAACCAAAAAAAAATCAATAAAACGGTTCTGCAGGTTTATTCACTGATTCATTTCGGAACTTTTCGGTTTCTTGCTATTTTTCCACATTTTGATGGGTTTCGGAGATAGTTAATGAAATTTCGAACGATGCAGTCACGTAAATTTCATTAAACCTTACAGCAAGAGATGGAACCCAATGATTTCTGTCAACTGACGTCGGCGCTGAATACTGTTCCAAGTCGATTTCGAAAGCGTTTCTCGTGCTATGAAAAAATTTAACAATATTTTGGTAACTACTTAAGTACCTACACAGCATTTACTACAAACTTTGACATCGAGAAACTAGTGTATGAACCGCAGCTGTTATTTGAACGGGATTATTTGTTATTTTATCATAAGCGTTTTTAATGCCGCGTCACTTCCTCATGGGTATTTACTGGCGTTTCATCAATGATTGATCTTAGTTGTCCCACAAAACAAAATAATCCATGGGATTCAGATCGGGTGAGCGTGGCGGCCGTCACTGGCCCTTCTCAAGTGTGTGTGTTGCTTGCTGCACCGTTTTGGAACGGAACTTCCAAACTCGACCAGAGCTGGTCTGATCCCATGGCCTCCTAATAGCCCCGACTTGACTCCTCTTGATTTTTCTGTTGATTTAAGGAATATTGTGCACGAAGATCTAGTTGCAAATGTTGATGATTTACGCTTTCGGACAGCGGATGCTATTAACATTCGGCAACTTTAATCTCACTGTTGGAGCAGATATTTTTACTGCTGGCGCTGCACTGCTGACTTGTTCGGTCTACGCATTAAACCCATGCGTGTGTAAACTCGCCATTAGATTATAGGGGATCGCAAATAAATGGCAGGAAAAGCGGCACGCGCCTCTGATGAGCACATGCCTGTACTTTGTTGTTTGATTTGTTGTGCGGGCTGTAAGGGTTTTTTTGTACAAAGTCCACGCCTGCAGCGCGGTTCCACTAAGACCCAAGGATTTACCGGAGCATTTCCTGCGCGGTCGTGTTTCCGGCCGACTTGTCTATAGGCCTTTAGCAAACAAAGGTAAACGTCCAGAACGCACCTTAGGTGTCGGTGATCTCGATGATTCACTTGCAGCCGTCGCTGTCCATCGGGTGGAGAAGCCATCAAGTTGTTAACAGTCCAGACCAAAGTTGAGCGAAATGCGCCACCCACCCGGATTGAGGAACCCGGTAACCGAATACCCGTGATGTAGGTGGCGCCAAGCTTTTTACCCAACAACCCATTAATCTCCTTAGGTCCTTTTAAATCGGCACAAGAGCAACGCAAACTGCGTAAATCTGTAACTGGCAGGGGGCATATTGTGGCCCTTGGTACTCTATTCAAACCGAACCGAACCAAAGGAATCCTTTGGAACCTAACTGCTCATTTATGACGTATTTTCGATGGCATTTCAATGGGTTCAACCTCAAAACTACCCTTCGAACAGAACGAACAAACGAAAGACATTCTCATCTGAGCTTACGGCAGTACCAGAGGTGGACCTTGCAAATGAATCATCAATATTTCAGCAGTTAAATGCCCAAGCAATGTACAGTCGTTATCGGACATGGTTCTAAAAAGCTTCCAACCAACACCCAATATTTGCTTTCAATGTACCCAGATTACGGAACATGCGTTTCTTTTCCCGTCAGCGATCAAGCGCAGAAATCTACAACACGCTTCAACACTTTGCTCTCTAGTTGCGCTCAAAACGCTCTATTTAAGTGCGTTTTATCGACGTTTTCCATCTTACAACTACTGGGGCCACAGCATGCAGGGGCGGATTGGGGCTTTACGAGGCCCGGGACTGAAATGCAAAGATTTTGGGGCAGTGAATGATTTTTTTTTATTTTCAGAGTTCGCCTTAGGGCAATTTTTAAAGCAAATTTCGTGAGTTTTGGGTGATTGCCTAAATTTGGCAGCGAGTTAGTTTCGATCACCATCGGCAGGTCCGAACTTGTTTTTATTTGGCTGCTTTATGGATCATTTGATAGAGGAAGATTTATTCTATCAGTTTAAAAATTTTTAATCTGGTCGCGATTTCCTTCAATTTTTGGTGTTTTTTCAATGTATAGGATGCGATTGATTTTGTGTCACCCGCAGGAGTTTACAGTTTGTTCAGAAAATTCCCTTTCAAAATGAGGACCAACTAGAGCATAGTTTTAGACACAGTTTGATAGAGAAGCCTTCGCTCTATTAGATCCGCAACTGTCAATTTTCTGGCAAAT